GTGCAGTCTTGTACTGGCTAAAGTGCGCGCGCTCAGCAGACGGCAGGTGACTACGAACAGCAAGGCTCGCAGCAGCATCGCACGTGGTCCTCTGCGAGCGAACGGTACTGTCAGCATCGGCAGAAGGTGCAACAGCGATGCCAGACGTGTGATCGAACAGTGAAACTCCGTCCCTAGAGTCGCACTGCAGAAAGAGCTGGAGGTCATCGACCTAGACCTCGAAATCGACCGCTCGACCCTCAGCATCGAAGGTAAGAACACTAGGGCTAGCCATGGCGGCAAAAGCAGTGGCAGTAGCAGTAGCAATAACTCGAGCAGCAGCAGCAGGTTAGCACTAGCTGTAGCAGCAGTAGTTGCAGTAGCAACAGTAGCACTAGCTGTAGCAGCAGTAGTTGCAGTTCGGGCTGGGCGGCGCGGTTATGAAAGAGCTGCACGGCTCGTGCTCAGTGGTGGAGCAGCGGCAGCACGTAGCAGCAGCGGCAGCAAGTAGCAGCAGCGGCAGCAAGTAGGAGCAGCTGCAGCAAGTAGCAGCAGCGGCAGTAAGTAGGAGCAGCTGCAGCAAGTAGCAGCAGCGGCAGCAAATAGGAGCAGCTGCAGCAAGTAGCAGCAGCGGCAGCAAGTAGGAGCAGCTGCAGCAAGTAGCAGCAGCAGCAAAAGTAGGAGCAGCTGCAGCAAGTAGCAGCAGCGGCAGCAAGTAGAAGCAGCTGCAGCAAGTAGCAGCAGTGGTAGCAAGTAAGAGCTACTGCAGCAAATAGCAGCAGCGGTAGAGCAGCAGCACAGGCGCAGTGCAGCGTGCAGGCCTGGCGTGGGCTGTACTGGCCGCGCGCGGGCCTAACGTGGCCTGTACGGGCTGCTCGTGGGCTACGCGCGACAGGACAGGGCAGGGCCGCGGGGCAGCGAAAATCGACGCACCTAAGGGCGCATTTCGGGCAGAAATTTTAAGAGAACGCGATTCGGGCAGGAACACGACAGGTTTTAACGGTGGGCCCTAAAAAATTCGTCCTAGGCTAGGAAGGTCCTAGCTCTTAATACCATGTGAGAATAGTATGAAGGTATGATGAGATTAGGGCAAGGAGGGGGATAAAAAAGAAGTGTCGAGCAAAATTCTGTACCCCCTAAGGCTAAACCCACTACAGCCTAGATAACATTAAACATATAATTTGACATCCGCCCGGGGCGGCGCCCAGGGCGGCACCGCTGAGGATGTGTTTCCAGAAGGTGTTACGGGCGACGATGACGACGACGGCGTTGAGTACTGGTCACGCGACGGGCTACCCGAGAAACTGCCCATACCAACCTATCCTCCGAATAATCGCAAGCGACCCCACCCCTCTTCACAAAACCGTGATGCCCGCCCCCCCTCTCCCAGGCACAAGCTCACCGACCACAAGCGGCAAGGTTACACCGCCGCGGAGAAGTTGAAGTGGGTTGCTCTGCTGGACGTGGCGGTGTCGGTGCGCGCCTTGGCTCGCGAGAGCGGAATCCACCGGAAGTGCCTCACCATCTGGAAGCGGGCAGCGGAATTCCTCAAGGATGCTCACTCCGCTCAGAAGCGCATGCACGGCCGCGGGCGAGCGTCATGGTACCGGCCGATGGAGTTGAAGGTGTACGAGAAGCTACTCGAGTGGCGCCGCAAGGGAACCGCCGTGTCAGTCGGCCGCCTGCAGGAGTGGTCGCGGGAGTTCATGAAGCTTCGGTACCCGGACAAGAAGTGGAAAGGAAGCCAGAGGTGGTCGGAGCGCTTTCGGCGGCGATGGAATCTGAGCGTCCGCGTGAAGACCCGGGTTGCCCAGAAAACCGCCGCGCGTGAGAATTACCCCGTTAAATTTGGCACGTTGTTTCTCTTTAATTGTACTAACGCCCTCCGTCTGTGTCCGTCGTTTCTTCCACCGCCGTGCAGATGTCGCTGAGCAGTGCAAGAGCTTCTGGCAGTTCGTGCGTGCCAAGCGTCGTGAGCGCGGCATCGACACCGCGTGGATCACCAACGCGGACCAGACGCCGCTCTGGCTGGAGATGCCCGCCACCACCACCGTGGAGGAAACGGGTGTTCGCTCGGTGCCTATCAAGAGCGCGGGGTATCAAAAGCAGAGAGTGACCGTGATGTTGGCGTGCACGGCGGACGGAAGGAAGCTGAAGCCGTGGGTGTTCTTCAAGCGCAAAACCTTGCCGAAGGGCGATTTCCCTGCCGGTAAGTAAAGAGGTGCACGGCTCGGTCACTGCGTTCTTTTCTGGGCTCGAATTCTAACCACACGTGCGTGTTTCATGCAGATGTGGTCGTGGCTTGCCACGAGAACGGGTGGATGGACTCCCCAGGCGTCGTTCGCTGGCTTGGGGAGGGCGTGAAGCCGTTCCTGAAGCCTCGGTTCGGCAGACACGCCAAGAGCTCGATGCTGGTGCTGGATTCTTATTGCGGTCACCTCACCGAGGAGGTGAAAGAGAAGCTCCGCGAGATGAACTGCGTGCCGGCAATCATCCCGTCGGGCTGTACGGCGGAGGTACAGCCGCTCGATGTCTCCATCAACAAGAGCTTTAAGGCGTCGGTCCGCCAGCAGTACCAGAGGTGGTTTGAGGCAGTGGGGCAAGAGCAGCTGACGGCAGCAGGTATGGCATGAGTACGGTATTCCCCCCCCCCCCCCCCCCCCCCCCCCCCCCGAATTCTTTGTTGTTGAACTAACGGCTTTCCACCGTTCTCCCGTAATGTTTCAGGGAACCTGAAGAAGCCTCCAGCAGAGGTCGTCCTGCGGTGGGTATCTCAGGCCTGGAAGGCAATGCCGGCCGACCTCATCAAGCATGCCTTCCTCACCTGTGGCATCAGCAACCAGCTTGACGGCAGTGAGGACGGACTCGCCATGGCGCACAGGCGGAGCCAGCTGACAGCGAAAGTGGATGTCGACGATGACATCATCGCTGATGGTTTTTTTGGCAACAAATGCCAGGAGCCCGAATCTGACGAGGAGTAGGAGGGGTACTGTATGATCCATGTTAGGTAGAAGTACCCCGGTTAAACTACTTGTTAGGAGATCTAGCTTAATCTGATGTTGTTGCTTAAAAAAAGTGACAGTTTTGTAAAAAAAAAATTAGTGCCTCCAATGAAAGGTTAAGGGATGCGCTTATAATTGTTGGAAATAAGAAGTCGCTAGAGCGCAGCGGAAGCTCTAGGAATTAACGACGTCCCTACGGCGGGGCTATTGGTCACTCAGAGGTAGCTCTCCTGGCTTGTAACGTGGTGCCAAAGCAGCGGCCGAGGGTAGGCCGGACACAAGCTTGAGAATTGTGTAATATGAGCAAGGCATTACATTCTGTTATATAGCAAACGCATAGGGCAAACAGTTACCAAGGCGCAACTGTATAACAGTTGCGCTGCGTCGCTTGGGTTGCCTTGTTTACAGTCGCACTGGCGAGACTTTTCAGCTTCGGGAAGGGCGCGGTATCCGGCCGCGCCCCACAGGTCGGTTTCGCGTACTGTAGACGATGACTCCTGCTGTCGATTCGACTCTTGAGCTGCCACGCGGGTCGCAACCGCTGTGCTCGGTTGCGGCCCGTTGACTCGCCACCAGGTTCAAATCCCTCGCTATGGCGAGCCCTTGTAAGCACACTTCGAACAGTGCACTTATAATAAAAGCATACAAACATATTCTCAACAATAATAAAGATAGAATTTTCGTGGGGTGCGCTTATAATCGAGTTCCGGCCATAAGCGCCATGCTCCAGATAGAGGCGCCGGCGCCTTTAATCGTGTTGGGAACAAACAATCTTAAGCGCCTCTGTCGTGTCGAAACACCAAGGCACAAGCGAAGCAGAGCATATCGAGGCACCAGCGAGTCAACCCTCGGAGGTTGAAGTAACCGCTGGAGGTTACGCGAAAGTCAAAGGTCAGCGACCTTTGACTTGACAAATGCAGCGCGACAGCAAGGACACACAACTGACTCGACATTGAGCAGTTGCCCGAGTCGCACTGTATCGAACCGCAACAGTAAAACAGTTTAATTATATCTCTTCGTATTCTTTGTACTCTTATATAAACCTTTGTACCTGCTTGTTTTAATCAACTTACTTTGCCCTCACATACCAGCGCAAGGTGGTTCAATGACTTCATTTAAACGCTTCCGCTACTACATCACTCTACCCAGAGTTTAACCCTACCAAAGATCCTAAGGGGCACTCAGCCCAACAAATCGGACGGCGCCTATATCCGGGGCCATACGGTACAATTGTAGCCCATATACCGTGAGCATACCGTGGTATTGCTTTTGCTCGGTACCAAAGGCACCATCTCTTATTGTACTCAGTACCGTATCACCCCGGATAGTAGCGCATATGCGCTTATAATAAATTTTAAAAAATTAGGGGGGGCGCTTGTAATTGAGTCTAGGGCATAAGCGCATGCTCTTATATAATGACAGTCACAAAAATGCATTTTTAGAGCACCAAATAGTACATTTCATTCTTGCCATTTCAACCGAGTCGAATATTTTTCGAGTCACCAGGCAGAATCGCGCGGAAGCGATTCTCTGCCAACACACACTGTGAAAGACACGTTCTGGGAGCTCATCCTGACTGGACGCGAAGCCAGTCAGGTCTTCGCGAGTCAAACGAAGCGAGAATGAAATCGAACTCGCTGCAAAAATGAAACTCGATACCGTTTTTAACAGAATTTCGAATTAATATTGTATGTGCGCTTATAATGAGTAAAGATTTTTCAAGGGGGGGCGCTTATAATTGAGGACCGGCCATAAGCGCATGGCTCCAGATAGAAGCGCCGGCGCTTTTAATAGGACGGCGCTACTATCCGGGGTGATACGGTATATTATCCGAAGCGCACATGTTCCCACACTCAGGGTATGAGTACACATGTTTCAACCCCCTGACTTTGTTCTATTACAACTAGCACAAACACAATGGCATATGTACCTACCTAGCTACTACCACGAGCAACATGCATGAACTCAAACCTTTTTTTCAACAACTCATTGTACGTCTAGCTAGCTATACCAGTCACTCTAAATCTCGCTCCAGATACGCTGAAGTTCTGCCACTAATTGCCCCATTGCAGGCCGATCATGCGGCTCGGTGACCGTGGCACAGCGAGCCATAGCAAGGATTTGAAGAACATGCAACTTTTCCCACTCCCCCTCCATGGTTGGGTCGGCAACCAAGGAAGGTTTCTTGAAATCCGTTGGGCTGACCACCTTTTTCAGCTCTTTATACTCTTCTTCATAGGGCTGATAGCCAAAAACTAGCTCCAAAAGAAACACGCCAAACGCGTATGTGTCAGCGTTTTGGCACAGATGGCCCGTCTCAAGATAGTTTGGGTCGACGTAGCCCCACGAGCCAGCCACGGTTGTTGAGACATGTGTTTTCCAATCCTCAATTGTGCGAGCCAACCCAAAGTCAGCCACCACTGGAGTACGATCCTGGAAGTTACCAAGTTACAATCGAAAAGAATTGGGGCGTGGTAACCACATGCCAAACCAAATTAAACGGCATGAGATGAGACATCACAGGGTGCTGCTGAAACGAATGTAGCATGCAGCTGCAATGTGCACGATCCCACCAGGGAAAAATGATAATAAGCAAAGAGACTTACCTGTCGGAGAAGCACATTCATTGACTTGAAATCGCGGTGAATATACTTGTTCTCATGAATGGCAGCAAGCGCCTCGGCACACCCCAGCGCAGCCTTCACACGATCCCTCCACGGAAACCGTGCTTCGTTCCTGCGGACTGGAGGGGGGAAGTCGAAGGAGAGGGGAGAGTGGGGAGAGGGGGAGCGGTTGATCCGGAGGACAGGAGGGAGAGGGTCAATGGTTTGGTTTGAAAGAGGGTAGGAGGTAAAGAGTAGGACCTCACACGTTGGGACAAGATGGGAGAGAAAGCAATGCGGACAGCAGCTGATGCATGAGAGTTTCAATGACAGCAGCATTGCGGCCTTGTCATTACAGCCGATCAAGCAGACTGAAGGAAACTCCCCTCTCACCCAAACAGCAGGCCTTGTCTCCCCCCGCAAGCCGCCAACAGCAGACTAAATGAACTACCTGAGAGGGGATTCTTCACACCTATGGCCAGCTATGGCAGCCGTCCGTGCAGATGCCAACTACCTGAGAGGGATTCTCCTCACCTTGTCGCAGGAGGTTGAAAACGTCGCCTCCAGGGATGAGCTCATACACGAGAAGCGGCCTGTGTTCCGCACTGAACGCCACGCCTTCCAGCGTCAGAATGTTGGGATGATTCACTGCTGACATGGCTTCCACCTCAGCCTGAAAACACGGCATAGTAGAGGGGCAGGAACGGGGGGGGGAGGGGAGGGGACAGGTAAGCAGAGGAAGAAACGGCATGTTGTCTGTTATAAAAGAATTTACTTTTATTCCCTTCTCCTTCTTTTGACCATAGCCATACCAAGTCGTTACTACTAGTAGCACGCACGACAGCACTCACCTTGAAGCTCTTCATGTCTCGCTCGGTGAATCGCTTTCCGTTTGTCTCTTTCACCGCCACCTCGCGTCGCGCTCAACCATCTCTCCGCCGTCCGCATTCGCGGCACCTCAGAAGTAGACTCACCTTGAAACTCCTCATGTCTCGCTCGGTGAACTGCTTTCCGTTTGTCGCTTTCACCGCCACCTCGCGCTCAATCATCTCTCCGCCGTCCGCCGCAGGCAGCACCATCCGCCCGCGGTACACCGTTCCGAACCCCCCCTTCCCTATCTCGTGCGCAGGCGCAAATCCCCCCGTCGCCGCGCGCAGCTCCGCGTAGGTGAACTCGCGGAGCGGAGGGAGGTCGGCGGACATCCGCGCGGAGGCGGTGGCGGAGGCGGCCGCGGAGTCGCAGACGCTCCCATGTGTGCACGTTATGGAATCGAGTTGCTCCGAGTTGGAAGAAGGCTCTGGGTCGGCGGACGAAATAGCGGCTGAAGACGGTGGCGGAGCGGCGCCTTCAGCTGCGGCTGCGGCTGAATAATTGGATGAGTCTTGGATGGATTGGGGGACGTAATTCGAGTTGTAATATATTGCGGATTGCGATGGGTCGTAGTAGGGTGCGGCGGAGCTCGATGAATCGTTAGCGCTGCGGGGGGGAACGGCGGCGACGCCCTGCTCCGCCGAACGGTCGCGCTCTCTGGACGAGCGCTCTCCGGACGAGCACTCTCCGGAGGAGGTGGTTGGGGCGCGCGGTAGTTCTTCCGCGGAGGGTTGAGCAGGCGGGGGGGAAGGGTTGCCGGGAACGACTTTGGAAGGGTGGACGCTCCGCGGCTTGAGGTGTGGCGCGGATTGGTATGCGCGGTGGTCCGCAACGGAGGACGGCGTGTGTGACGGCTGGGGCGCGCAAGCGGTTTCGGTCTGTTGAGCGGAAGTGTGTGGCGGCAGCTCAGGCGCGCCAGCGGTTTCGGCCTTTTGAGTGGAAGCTTCGTCTGTGCGGGATCCGCGGCGGTAGGGGGGAAACGGAGCAGCCGCGGAAAGCGGGAAAACAGCAGAGGGGAAATGCGTTACAGTGGCGAGCATATTGGGGGAGGATTGTGAGATGACTTTTGAGTCGACTTAAAAGAAATGCGTTACATGTTGCGAGCATATTGGGGGAAGACTGCGTTTATTTAGGCGCCTCAAAAGAGGCGGACATGGGGGGAAATGAGCTGCAGCTCGGCAGCAGATCTCTGAGCACGAGAGAAACATGCGCGTCGAACTTTCAATCAAAACAGTTGGCAGTCGGTCTTAATCGCCGCTACTTAATCTATGCCCACCTTTCACAGGCGTCTCCTCAGGCTTTTTGTCGCCGCAGCAGCCGCTGATGCAATTGCCCATGGCTGCAGTGAACGAAGCGAGTTGAACGCGCAGCCGCCTGCCAATGAAGGAAGCAGTGCTTGCTGGGACTCTGATTTGCTTGCGACGGCGCTTGTCGCTGACGTGTCTCTCGTCGAGCGACAACTCACGAGCTGCCGGTTCTGAAGCAGCAAAGAGCCACTGCCAGCTGCTAATAGCCGACGAAACTGAAGCAGCGAGGCACTGTCACCAGCTGCCACAGCTGATAAATAGGCGCCTTGAGTTTCAGAGCTTCAATCCCGCGTAATCCTAACCCCGCGCCGCGTTGCTTCGGTCCCACGTTCCCGAACCCGCGTAGCTTTCAACCCCGCGTTGTTTCAACCCACCCACGTTAGGCGAGGAATGTGGTTGGGCTGATTTTGAACGGTTGGGCTGGGCATATTGCGGGCCGCGCGAGGCAAGTTTAGTAAGGTTGATCGAGTCCTGCTTTGCAGCTTTAGCCGGGCGAATTGTGGCTACGAAATGTACGAAGCCATCTGATTGGCCAGAACATTTGAGTCAGCGAATGGAACAGGTGGTGCGGGAAACTGGCAAGAGTAATATTTGTGCAATATGGGACTCGCGCAACCAAACCTGAGCGTCCCCTAGGCTTTGCTGAGTCAGCGTATTTTGTTTTGAGTGTGGCGAGAAGCTGGGCGAAACCAAACCCCTACACCCCTCCAACACCTCGACTTTCCTACTCAGCTCCCCCACCACCCAAGGGTCAACTTTAGTAATCCTGAACAATTTGGGCCTTGAGTTTTAAAAGGGTGTATTCGGAATTTGCGAGGTCTGGAGGGAAAGCTCTCCTTCCCAGCAGCTGCAACGAGTACCATCCCGCATGGTTCGAACGGGCCGCGTGTGGAGGAACCTCTTGATTGGCTACGCATGACCAAGGCGCATGAGCGAGCGGCAAACGTGTCGAACGAGGCGCATGGTGATCTGGTCCAGGTCACAGAAGTCAAGAGTCACGCTGGTCTGGTAAGTGACGTGAATGTACGCAACGCAAGGGCATATGAAGTCAGCTCGATATGTCAACAAGCACACGAGGCATTAGGGCGGCGTGTACATCTGTGCGGCAACAAGAATCTACGCAAGCAGTTTATATGTATATATATAGACAGAAGCGAGGTAGCCTATGTTGGAGAAGAGGGCCCACGATATCAGGGCAAAACATCCTGATTACCCTGATTTCAGGATGGTGTTTTAAGTTTGCCCTGGAATTTCAGAATGACGCTGAAATTTACCCTGTGACATCAGGATGATCCATGTGTTTTGCCCTGAAATTTCAGAATAGCAGTGAAATTTTGCCCTGAAGCATTAGGACGCGTCACCTCCCTCGATCGATCGTGCAAAATCGAGGAATATCGATCGTCCACCGCACTTAAATCCCGCGTGTTGCATTTACATTTGTTTAAAAACTTTTTGAACCGAACCAAAAGTCGATCCTGCGCGGGATCGATCGAGGCAGGTGACGCGTCCTTAGGGTGAATGTAGAGGGATGCCCTGACTCGTGGGAAGGGGAGAAGGGGTGGAGAGGGGAGAGGGGGAGAGGGGGAGAGGGGAGGAAGGAGGATGGAGGGTGTGTATGCTAGTTTTGTCCCCACCCTTCCCCCACCAATGTTTTTGCTCAGCCAGTAGAAGTGAAACCAGTGAACAACCTGCTCCTTTCGTGCCTTCCCCTCCATCCTCTCTAGTGCCTTGTATTTTTTGCCCTGAATCATCCAGATGAATTTCTGCTGGTGCCCTGAAATTTCAGGATGGCCACGAAATTTGCCCTGAAAAATCAGGGCATTTCGGAGATTTTTCAAAAGTTACCCTGAGGGCTCAAGGTGCCCTAAATCCTAGCACAAGCCCTGTTGGAGAACACTGTTTGGACAAAGATGCAGAGAACACTGCTTGGCACTCGCAACCACTATGGGGTTGACCTTGCTGATGAGCGCGCAGTGAAATATTGATGTGGTATAAGTAGAATAGCTGTAAGGAAAATTCCTTTTCCTTACTTCGCGTCCCTGCTCAGCGCGTACACCACTGTTCCCGCCAACAGCACCCAACAGTAAGCCGTTACCACTCGCGAAACTCGCCTCGACACTGTTCCCGCCACTGTTCACGACGCGACCCAACCTCACGGTTCGGTTGGTAACCCGCGCTCCGGACCTACGCCTCGGCAACTTTCCCAACCTCGGCGCCAGGCTCGTCGCGCACCCCAATTTACGCATTACCGTTACCGCTGTAGTTTCGCTATATATTCTTCGCTCATGCCTTCGCTCATTTGTACTTTTGCTTCGATAGTGCAAATCTCGCTCGCTCACTCAATTGCACTCGTAACACTTGGTATTCAGAGCCTACGATCTCTTCTTGGACCGCACCCACACCTTCGTTTCCTCACTATCTCAACTTTTTTGGGGGGGGGTAGACGTCTCTCAGCGTTACAGCACCGCCGCTCGTAGTGCTCTCTCGTAAGCACGCACGGCCACGACAGAGGCTCTCGCTGAGCTTGCCCGACACCCCCGCCATGGCCGAATTCACTCTCGCGACATTGACGCAGGAGCAACTCGACCATCTCGTACGCCAAGTTGAAGAATCGGCGCTCGAAATTGCGACGCTCACGGCTGAACGTGACTCCGCGCGTCAGTAGAAGAACCGAAAATTACCGAGAATGAACCAGAAGCCGAGGAGGAAGAGTCACTGACGGAGTACGGACCTCACCTACTTCCCATCACGACGGACGGCAGGGATTATCTTCGCCTCGAGACAAGGGGAGTGGCGATCGGCGATACCAACTTCGAGGAAGAAGAAATCACGCAACCCGAAGAACGTCGCGCACGAACCTCACCCCCGCCTCTTGAGAAGCCACTGAAGCTGCCGGTGACGATGGACACCGTCACCATCGGCGACACCAGCGGAGCGTATCACGGCGTGACAATCCAAGCAGCGGCAGTCCAAGTTACCGTGCCCGACGAACCTGCGGATGAAACAAGGCAAGAAACACCCGAGGAGATATTGGCACAGGAGAAGGAGCTGTACGCACGCACTAAGGGATATCGGGCCGACGGAGACATCTGGCATCAACGCATGGGACACCCATCAATCGAAGTGCTCAACAACTGCATCAACGCAAATGTGTTTGCGGCAGACGCACTGTTGCTGCCCGATGGATAGCTGCTGAAACCACGAACCGACCTACCCAATTGCACCGTCTGTCCGGCAGCCGCGCTCCGCCACACACCCTTCGCCGAAAAGATCCCTGGAGCCGAACGATACAAACCGCCGGAGAAGGTTTATAGCGACTTCCAGGTGCTCACTGCGAAAGGAGTCGGAGGGGAGCAGTACACTCTTACCTTCATCGACGCCGGCACACGCTTCGTCTGGGTCGTGAACGTCAAGGACCGCTACCTCGCCTACTACTGCTTAGAAGACTGGCTCGCCATGGCAGAAAATCAAAGTGACGGCCACAAACTGAAGACGTTCCAGACAGACGGAGCTCTGGAGTACATGTCGGACGACTTCAAAACCCTATGCAAGCAAAAAGGGATCAAGAGGATGATCTCTCTGCCTTACGCCCACGAACAGATTAGCCGAGAGAACCAACAGGAGCCTCGCGACAAAAATGCGAGCCCTCATGAAGCAGTCGGCTGTGCCAACCAAGTATTGGCCCTTCGCGATGACGCATGCAGTTCGGCTGCACAACATGCTCTCCTCGAAGGCGCTGCCCAACAACAGCTCACCCTTCAAAGAGTGGACTGGAAAACACCCTGACACACGCATGCTGCAAGTCTTCGGGTGCATGGTACAGTACCGCCCCTACACTGCCCGAACCGTAAAATTTGAAGATCGCGCTCGCTGGGGCATTCACCTCGGAATCGAATCCGAATACCACACCTGGACAATCCTGGACTTCGCCACCCACCAGCTCACGCGTTCACGTGACTGCAACTTTTACGAAAGACTGACCCTGCCACTGTACCGCCAGCACCGCACTGCACAGAACGCACCAGACAACATTTTTCAGCGACAGCACAGCTACGCCAATGACGAGGACGACGTTGACGTGGCGGGAGAACAACCGGACGAGCCAGCAGCAGATGAGGCACCTTTCATCCCCGTTACGGAGCAGTTCGGCACTCCTACATACTTCCCAACAAACACCGATCCTCATGAAGCAGTACAGGCACAGCACGACTATGCAAGCGCCGAAATGCACTCACCCATGAACGAAGATCCAACTCGCGACTCCTCCCGCGACACCCTTCGCGACATCCCTGGCGACGATGACGACGTGATTGAAGTTACAACCACAGCCGAATCCAACCTCACGGGCCTTCGCGTCCTTGGCCTCGCTGTCGCCGTTTGGGGTAACCAGCACCTGGTCGAACCCACCACCGTTCGCCAGGCTCTCAACGGGCCCAATGCTGAGAAGTGGAGAGCCGCCATGGCCGCAAAAGTCGCCGCACTCCAACGCCGCGGCACCTGGAAGCTGGTACCACGCCGCCACGCAAAGGGGAGAAAAATCCTTACAGGGAAATGGGTCTTCAGAATCAAGACTCTCGCGGACGGAACGGTGGAAAAATTCAAGGCGCGCTGGGTGGTTCGCGGATTCGAGCAGACACAATTTGTGGACTACGACCAGACATTCGCACCTGTCGGCCGCCATACCTCAGTGCGCATCCTTCTCTGCATCGCCGCCGTGAAACAGCGCCCGCTCGGCAAAATCGACACCTCCAACGCGTTCCTCTACGCGATCGTTGACGCCATCATCTACGTCGAGCAACCACACGCGTTCGAGGAAGATGGTGATGCCGTCTGTCTCCTCCAAAAGTCTCTGTACGGCATCAAGCAGGCATCGCGCATGTGGCAGCAGCAAGTCTCTGTACGGCATCAAGCAGGCATCGCGCATGTGGCAGCAGCACCTTCACACCGTTCTCATCGAGCTCGGTTTTCAGCAACTTCCCCACGATCAGGGGATGTACCGCCTCGAATCCCGCGGTCACTTCATCCTGCTC